TATATATAATATGGCTATGATGCCACTCCTATGTATTGATATTTAAAGAGGTAGTTTAACTAAAAACAAATGTTTCATATATAGATTTCAATAAATCTCTTTGGTCACATGCAACACGCTGTTGTAATGCTGGAGTATGGTAAGAAATAAGGTGCAAAGCTTTCAACGAGTGAGCTGTCTGCAAACCATAGTTCAAGGGCTCATTTACACCATACGCCTGGTGTAAATGCATCCCAAGCACATGTGCATTGAAAACGTAAGGTTTGTAAATATGTCTAGTTTACACCATTGCACTGTGTTGTGGGGCATAAAAAAATAAAGGAACAGCATGCTGCTTTCTGTTCAGCATTGCAACACACGTAGAGGCACATCAAAGCATTGCACATAGATGTGACTCCTTTAAAAAATATACAACTATTTTGCCTGCCTTCCCCCTCCATAATAAAATGCATGCAAACTCATAAAAATACATGTCAACATGCTTTTGCAGATGCTCCAAAAATGCATGTGTGTATGTGTGCATAGTGTAATCCAGCCCTCAATGTTTCCTCATGCCTTGGTTGTCTACATGCTTCAGAGCTACTTCACAATTGTAGTGCTATACACCAGACTTTATAGGAAGACAGGACAAATTTGACAGAAATTGATATTAGTGACACCTGCAAGCAAAGGTCAACACAATTTGTTCAGGATAATGGTATAGTTAATGACAATCAGCATGGGTTTAGGAAAGACCGTTCCTGTCAGACAAATTTACTGACTTTTTACGAGGGTGTAAGTAGAGATCTGGATGGAGGGAGGTCTGTGGATGTGGTATATCTGGATTTCTCAAAGGCGTTTGATACGGTACCAGACAAACGTTTACTATATAGGCTGAGGTCTATGGGCATAGATGGAAGGGTGTGTACATGGATAGAGAACTGGCTAAAGGAATGGGTACAGAGAGTATCAATAAATTATGCCCTTTCAGAATGGGCTAGTGTCATTAGCAGTGTGCCTCAGGTTTCTGTGCTGGGACCCATGCTTTTCAATCTGTTTATTAACGACATCGGGGACGGAGTAAACAGCGATATCTCAGTGTTTGCTGATCATACCAAAATTGGGAGGGTAATAGAAACTGACCAAGATAGTATAACATTGCAGGAGGACCTGGATAAAATAGGGGAGTGGGCAACTATGTGTCAGGTGAGGTTTAATGTCGATAAATGCAAAGTTATGCACTTTGGGATTAAAAATAAGCAAATGGGCTATACAATTATGGGTATGCCACTAGGGAAGTCGGAAATGGAGAAAAATTTGGGGGTCATTGTAGACCATAAACTGAATAATAGATTACAATGCCAGGTTGCTGTAAGCAAAGCTAGTAGAATCCTGTCCTGCATCAAGAAGGGAATGTTTTGCAGGGACAAGTCTATAATTTTGCCACTATACACATTACTGGTTCGGCCTCACCTGGAGTATGCGGTGCACAGAAAGGATGTCCTTGAGCTGGAGAAAGTCCAGCAGAGGGCAACCAAACTCATCAAGGGGATGGAGGACCAGAACTATGAGACAAGGCTCTTAAATTTAAATATGTTCACGTTGGAAGTAAGGAGATTAAGGGGGGACATGATTTTCATGTACAAGATGTTCAATAGTCATAGCAACATTAGCAACAAACTCTTTAAGATTAATTCCGTAACAAAGACTAGAGGCCACCACCTGAAACTGGTAGAAAAAAAATTCAAACACAAGGGGCGAAGGGGGTTCTTCTCAGTTCACGTGGTTAGGGTCTGGAACTCGCTGCCACAAGCACTGATTTCCGCAAATAGTCTGGAATCATTCAAGAAGCTTTTGGACGATTTCCTGAGAGACCATAATGTACAAGGGTACAGGTACTCTTAAGAATGAGATGACTCAGGGACTTCTACGCACACACACACACACACAATATTTTGGACTTGATGGACTTATGTCTTTATTCAACCTCAAATACTATGTACTATGTAACTATGTACATTGTATATGTACTCTAGGAAAATGCCATATGTTAAATGGCTGATGCAAGCATATCTGCATATTTTTGACTAACTAACTAACCACCGTAATATTCAGGGGTACAAGTATTCCTAAGAATGAGTTGATGCGTGGACCTATATGGGTTGGACTTGATGGACTTATGTCTTTATTCAACCCCAAATACTATGTAACGGTAAGTAATCTAAGAAAAATACAATCTTTATTAAACAAAAAAAATATATAATAATGATAGGAAGAGGGTATCTGAAAGATATAAAACCTTAAACCTCCAAATCATTGAAAGCTACAGGACAGAAACAAGTGCTATATCTCCAGGAGCCATTTTATTGTGCACCTTGTGAAGAATCCTTGAAGTTTTATAATTCTGAGAACAGAATGTATAAGAATCCATAAGCACCCACTGTGAAAGATGTGTTAACAGAAATCTAAAAATAAATCTGAGATACAAGTTTTGTTAACACCAAATGCCAGACAAAGAGGTACAGAAACATTTCTGATGGAGTTGAAAGCTAAAGACTCAGATGTCATTCTTCCCTCCTTTAAAAGGAAAGCAGCAAAGTGACCCCAATCTAATATTAGATAAAGCTGTGTGAGTCTGCACAATGAGCTCCCCAACAAGGCACAGGTTAAAGCCAAGAGTGTTGGAACACCTGAGAGGCCATTCTAGCATGTAAACAAAGTAAAGAATCGCCTAAAGGCAAATATACTGCATAGAGAGAAAGAAGAAAGGCTTGCAGATGCAACTGAACATGTCAGTAGGTGCAAACATAGAGCAAAAATGCAAAAGCAAAAAAGCGATGAGTAAAGCTTTTTACATCTTGCATAACATCATCTATGGGGAAAACCAAGGAGAATATGTGTATTAGTGTTCTGAAGCCATTACAAGGTTGCACACAGCTATATTTTGCTTGGTTTGGGCCATTAGGTGCATTATTAGGTTCTAAACAAATGTATGAACAAACAGAAAAAGAACCATTAATGGCCCATTGACATGGGTTAACGTGTGCTGCACTAAGCCTCCTGACGTACCAACATGTCAAAGAAATAAAAAATCAAGTTACAAAATTTCACTACAACACTCCTCATCTCACTATGGTGCATTGGCATGCGTTGCACTTTTTTTTTTTTTTTTTTTTTTTACTTTTTTTTTTTTTTTTATTCAATACATAGATGTAAATTGGTCTTAAGTGATTATGTTTGAAATAAAAACACAAGCTCCCGCATGATTACAAAGAATGTTTGTACAGGAACGGGAATATAACTGTGACAAATACTGTAACCCCCGAAAAATTGTTGGCTACAGAAGACACACTCTAATGAGAATTTGACATAGAAATCAGAAATAATGGCGAATCTTTTGAATACAAAAGTAGTTAACCCAACACAGTCTACAGTACCAAATCATGTTGTACTATTACAAATCTTTAAAGAGGAAACAATGAGTGGTATTCTAACAGCAGTAAGAATCTGTAGGAGAAAGAATGACCCACTCAGAAAAAAACAGGTACATCTAAAACTATAGGAATTTTGGTCATTACTTAATTTGCTCTTAGTTGGCAACACCCTACTTATGACTGGAATAGGGCTGTACCCAGAAGTCCTCAGAGTACTACACCATCCCTGGCAAGGTCAAGTCTGTATGAAAAGTACAAGATTCCAAGGGAGATAGCTTCAGACAATTTATCAAGAAATTAATGGCATAATCAGTCACAAATCAGACTGCCTCTCCTTTATAAAAGTCTTTGCAACAGGTTTATATCAGGTGTGCTTCTATGTTCCTGGCCAGCCAAGTGCCACAGTTTGCAAAGTTTTAGGGCTTGTTCACGCCTAATACAGTGTGTTCCAGAAAGAACGCACTGTATTAGGTGTGAACAAGCCCTAAAGACAGAGTTTTATTCTGTTGCAGTGGTATATACCTTATTTATATTGTGTCAACAATTTACATGGCACTTTACATGGTTGCACATTCACATCAGTCCCTGCCCTCTAAGGTCCCTATCTCACATGCATACATACAGGGGCCATTTAGCCCGGAGCCAATTAACCTACCAGCATGTGTTTGGAGTGTAGAAGGAAACCAGAGTACCCAGTGGTAACCCATGCATGCACAGGGAGAACATGTAAATTTCTTGCAGATAGTGTCCTGACCGGGATTTGAACTGGGGACCCTCAGTGCTGCAAAGCCTTAACCACTATGCCACTGTACTGCCCACAATAAGTAAAAAAGTAATTGGCTTAATCCACAAGTGCTTTATTCAACACTATGTTTCTGTTATACTGGCTTTAAAAAAAAAAATATTGGATAATAAAAAGATTTGTGTGAAAGGTTTAATGTAGTGTAACACTTTTGGTTGTTAAGTATGACATTTATTAAAGAGGTCTACACATCTGTCCGAAAAGCACTAGAGAAAGACAAGAGGTTATACTATCCCTGATAGTCTGTATCTGGCATGTTTAACACTCGTTATAAAATACATATTTCTAAGCATATAACATTATGGTGAAACAAGCTAAATAAGTAGAAATTCACAGTACTAGAACACTTACAGTTTTTGCAGGTTGTGAAGTCCTGAGAACATGTCAGATGACAAACATCCAATCCTGTTGTTAGACAGGTCACTGTAAAAGAACCAGAAGTCATTAAAGCAAATCTCACTTGTCTCATATGGCATAAATATTAACCTAATACATCGATTCTCAATGTACGGTCTGGTCTAACAGTTCATCAGCAAACTTGCTAGACATGATTTGTGCAGAAGAGCATTAAACACTTTCTCCAGACAGACTACATCTTTTGCCCAGTTAAAATTTAGTGTTCAAATTAACCCTTCACACGCACTATGGCCCTTATACAAGTATAATATGCAATATTTGCCAGTAACATAACACAACTCATTATTCTGAAATTGAGTTGCCACAGGATAGGAGCACAGTTGAAAGTGTAGGAGGTATTGTCAGGAGTTACCACTGCCAAGGGTTAAAATTAGGGATGCACCGATACCAAGTACCATTCTCGGTACAAGTACAAGTACTTTGAGCTCCAAGACTAGACTACAGAAAAATTAAAAAGTTAGGAGGCAGCTGTCATTTGTAAGGAGCACACGGAGCTCCTGGGATTTGTACATCTCTGTTTTAATGTATGATTTTGTTTTTATAAACATACATATATAAGGGATGCACCGATACCTTTTTGCAAGTACAAGTACTGATACTTGTCCAAGTACTCACAGATACAAGTACTGATACATTTTTGTTTATTGTCATGTGACAGTTTTTCTAAAACAATACAGACTAATGATTTCCGGACAGTGGTGGAGCGCCAGAGCTAGGTCCCAGCTGCAACCGCTGCAACCCTGGTAGTTCTCATGGAAATGCCAAGTACTGCCACTGGTATCTGAACTGGCATCGGTGCATCCCTAGTTAAAATTAGAGTGGGAAGCAAACACATATAGGGGTTGATTTACTAACCTTATAAACACGCCACAAACATGTATACACCTCTGTAGTGTGTTCCCTCCCAGCATGATCTATGGGTGGAATCTAGACACCTTTGTAGTGTGTACACACCCAGCAGGTGTGTTGTGCAAAGCCCTGCATGAATTGCAAGGTGATGTTGTGTAAATTAGCTCTACGTTGTGTTGCTTGCGTTGATGAATGCAGGAATGTAAATGCATGAGCTAACCATTTTTGTCTAAACTGTGAAGCAGCATTATATATGCATCATGTGCATGATTTTTCCATATATGGCATTAGTGGAAATTTGCTTTTAGAGACTTGCATGCCGCTATTAGAGCGGTGTGTAGCCTATGGCGCATGCTACATGACGCGCACGTACGTAAATACATAAAAACGCGCCATAACGGTGTGAACATGTGACACGTTGCTCGTGTTTGGTTGATAAATACGCTTTGCTGTGTAAAAATGCACACGCACCTGGTGCGTGCGTGTTTAGGTTAGTAGATCACCCCCATAGACTCAATTCACAAAGGTTTAACACAAAGATAAGGAGTTTTGTTTTTGGCATGTGACTGTAACTTTAAAAATGTATTGGATGAAAAATAGCTGTCACTTTAAAAAAAAAAAAAAGATCCTTATGATGGTGTTAGCTTTGTGAATTGAGTCAATCTATTCAGCAATCAAAACATGGTTGGGGTAGTTGGAGGTGTCACAACAAGTTTGACCAGTTGGAACTTTTGGAGGTGGAAAACCCTTTAAAACAACACTTACAGGGTTATTCACAGAAGCGTGAAGAGTTTGGAGAAAAACAGGAGAACTGAACAATCTAGGACAACATAGCTAAACTGGAAAGTGAGCTAAATTGGAGATTTTTTCCACTTCCGTTATGTTGTCCAGGCTGCACACTTCTGCCTTCTCCAAACTCCTCACACTTTTGTTAATAACCCTGTTAGTTTGATGCTAATGAATCATTATACAGGTAAAACAATTTATCACCATATAATTTATTTTATTCTCCATAAGGTCCCTTGAGGTTTTATTTGTTTTAATGGTTTTAGAGATGTAAAGATTGTGATTATTTTGGTGAAATAAGCACCCGTGTAGCTTTTTCCATTAAATTATATTAATGAATGAGCCTGAGTACATTAAGCATATCCAGACCAAATGGCAAATTGATGTAATTGTTAATTCACGCCAACAGGTTCACTACAATGAGCTTTTCAATTTCCTAAAAGACTGCTCATGTGAAACCTAGCATATTTGTAACGCGGTTGCTTCTTTATGAATTTTCATTTGCATCTGGCATTTTATTTTACAGGTATGTTAGTTCAACGAACAAGAAGTTTGCAACTAAAGCAGTAAAAGATTAATTCAAAAACACACATTTTAATTATTAATTTAATCTCCAAATGTAATATCAGGCAGCTTAAATTGGATTCAATTGTTAAGAGTAAATTGTAGAAAACAATAATTTGCGCTAAAAAGTAAAACTAACTTTAAGAATGTCCAAAAATATGACAGTAGGAACTTTTTTATGATTTGGATGAAAAAAGCCAGAGTCCTAGGGGTCTATTCACGAAGCTGCCGAAGGATCTGGCTTAAGCTTCAGCCGATCCTTCGGCTAGCTTTGGCCCCAGGACCCCTTCGGTTCAGTAGAACATTTGTGAGCACAATGACATTTTCTGTACATGACAGCCAGGGTTCTAAACTTGTTTTCATTTCTGAAGAGCTTTTTTTACTTATCACTATGGACCATCCATATATAATGTGGATTTGCAACAGGAATATGCAGAGAACTCAACTTACATTGAAAACATTGAAATGTCCTCTACTGGCTGTTACGTAAGGACTAGTGATGGGCAAGTTGAGAGTTTTTACTTACCCAGATTTTGGCAAAACCAGAAACATTTAGGGAAAATTTAAATTTTTATGAAATGCATTGAACTCAGAGAGGAAGGTAATATATGTATACTTTCTTTCATCCTTTGGCTATAATAGTGAAAGGTTAAATCGCTGACCGTTTATTTTTGTCGTCTTATTGGGGACATTTCTCTTCATGTCCTGTCCCATAGGTGCAACAGACATGAAAGGAAATCTCTACTATGTGGGCACAATTCCTCTCTTCAACAGCTGTGATCAGAACTGATGTCCCCAGTGAAAGATTTACTTTTGCCTCTCAGTTTAATGACAACTATAACATTTTGGATTTCATGTCACTTTATGTCTAAGTGGTAATGGTCATTTGAACAAATAGAGAAGGTGAGTCTATTTAGCTGGGTCACTGACAGTAATAAGAGCTTGACCGAGGTTCTGATCCTCCCCTACTCTATTCAAAATAAAATGTTGGCTATTCACACACTTTAAGTTTGTTCTTGGTGCTTTATAAGACTGCAGTGGATTTATAATGAAAACTGAGGGTTGGGGATACTCCTTTAACCTATTCTGAACTGTAAAGTCTCCTTTAAGATAAGTATTTATTTCTGGGTGGACATTGATTTAATCCAAAAAGAAATACAGTGGCTACTCTCAAGAAACCCATCTATCATCATGTTAGTGCTGACATCATGATTTTTTGATAGCCAGGAATATGGAGACAGCCACATTATTGTCCAGCCACCCATACCTAGTTAGCACATAGGTAAAAAGTTTAGGAAAGGTGTATATTGGGTCAATATATAAGGGTTTAGGGTACATTGTAACATAAATCATAGGGCTATACTGTTCCATAGAAAGGGGCTTAGTGGTGTATGGACAGAGAGGTAGGGT